ACCTGACTGTTTTGTCGATGTGAGAAAATTAGATGTGTTATGGAAGAGCAGTCAACCTGTTCGGAATGGCTCGGATACTCGCTTAATTCGCATTTTCTGGAATGGCTATATGCTCTACTTTTCATGATGAATTACGTAATTTGGTATTCCAGTATTCATCGCGTTTTTGTTTCCGGCTACTTCACGCTGAAGGGTCACGGGGGATGACTATCACGAAATTTTATATAACGGTGTGAGAACATCATGAAAGAAAGACAACTTATAATACCATATTCTCGTCTAGAAATGAGCCCTGAAAAATATATAAACTATTTTTGCGCGACCTGGAATTATTTGGGAAATAAGTAAAGAGATACACAGTAAAAAAAAAAAAAATAGTCAAATTTGCAGTGCATAAAGTTTTGCCACAAATAGTAGCATCAAAAATATTCTTTCAAGTCCAAGTGAGTCAAGCACGAATTAGAGCAGGTAATTCTTTCACTTCAACCTTTATTTCTTATTGTAGAACTTTCAATTACGCTGAAGATGGTATTTTATGAGACCGAATCATATCCCTTATGATTATGTAACTCCTGATGCTCCTGATGGTGCATGGAGTCTCTTGAATACCTAGCCCTGAAGATGGTGTTTTGATGTCTTCGAAACGCAATTATCGTAGGTATATGTAATGTAAAAATGAATAAGTAGATATAGGTGTGTAATATGACACATCCCAACCTACAATGAAGTTAGTTCATAATATGGTTGTAAATAAAATATTCTTCAGGAATAAACTCAATGGATCAAAAGTGATCTAAGAAAGACGAGGATAAAATTTCCTGATGTGAAAGGCAAACTATATGTATGAACCTGTGTATCTTTGGCCTCTTCTTTATATACAGAGCAAATTTTTGAGAATTATACCTCAACATATAATTCCATGGAAAATGAGACGAAATTTAATCTTATTTTAGATCTAAAATTTCTCACTTTTGGTTCCATGGCTATTGGCGAGCAGTGTATATCACTACGAAGACCCCACTTGGTCATAACCACTCATAACCATACCATATAGTAGCCTATAGTAGAGGCGACCTAGTGCGAGGAGGTTATTATATATAGCTCTTGCCTACTAAATATACTCAACTATAGGTTATCATTCAAAACGACAATGGTCATACAGTAAATCACACACTGTATGTCTGTATGTACATTATGTTGAATAATGGGCGTGTACACCTTAGTAGAACTTTTAACTCAAACCATGTTTATAATGATCCTTCTTCTTATAATACCATATTCTCGTCTAGAAATGAGCCCTGAAAAATATATAAACTATTTTTGCGCGACCTGGAATTATTTGGGAAATAAGTAAAGAGATACACAGTAAAAAAAAAAAAAATAGTCAAATTTGCAGTGCATAAAGTTTTGCCACAAATAGTAGCATCAAAAATATTCTTTCAAGTCCAAGTGAGTCAAGCACGAATTAGAGCAGGTAATTCTTTCACTTCAACCTTTATTTCTTATTGTAGAACTTTCAATTACGCTGAAGATGGTATTTTATGAGACCGAATCATATCCCTTATGATTATGTAACTCCTGATGCTCCTGATGGTGCATGGAGTCTCTTGAATACCTAGCCCTGAAGATGGTGTTTTGATGTCTTCGAAACGCAATTATCGTAGGTATATGTAATGTAAAAATGAATAAGTAGATATAGGTGTGTAATATGACACATCCCAACCTACAATGAAGTTAGTTCATAATATGGTTGTAAATAAAATATTCTTCAGGAATAAACTCAATGGATCAAAAGTGATCTAAGAAAGACGAGGATAAAATTTCCTGATGTGAAAGGCAAACTATATGTATGAACCTGTGTATCTTTGGCCTCTTCTTTATATACAGAGCAAATTTTTGAGAATTATACCTCAACATATAATTCCATGGAAAATGAGACGAAATTTAATCTTATTTTAGATCTAAAATTTCTCACTTTTGGTTCCATGGCTATTGGCGAGCAGTGTATATCACTACGAAGACCCCACTTGGTCATAACCACTCATAACCATACCATATAGTAGCCTATAGTAGAGGCGACCTAGTGCGAGGAGGTTATTATATATAGCTCTTGCCTACTAAATATACTCAACTATAGGTTATCATTCAAAACGACAATGGTCATACAGTAAATCACACACTGTATGTCTGTATGTACATTATGTTGAATAATGGGCGTGTACACCTTAGTAGAACTTTTAACTCAAACCATGTTTATAATGATCCTTTTATACATAAATAATGATTGACGACATAATTCGATCGACGAATTAACTGGAATGTTTAATTTTTGGACATAAATAATAGTACCATCTGAAAACGGACCCTCTTATGACGTAGAAATCTCATCTCGCCTGGAACCAAAGAAAATACCAAAAGCCCGATGGAGACTGAGGCAACTGATATATTAATTCTTTCAACTGTGATCTCGCGCTAATTCACTCTGTCAGAAATCATGTATCATTCATCTCTGTCTGGAATAGTCTTGTTTCAGTATTAGGGTTTTGACGTCACATCATCGCCTCGTTTTAAGAGGTCCGAAAAATCGGGGATTTCAATAATTTTTTATAAAACGTAGGGAGCTCACAGCAAGAAACGGTTTGCGGTGGTGAGCTAGTTTGGGTGAGTTCTATCGAATTATGAAATAAAATTTTTTCGTGATATAAGCCCATTGATAAATTTGGGAGATGACATTAAGAATGTGTACATAATTCTTGGCTTTTTATTCACAGGTCCCGTAGTGTAGCGGTTATCACGTCTGCTTCACACGCAGAAGGTCCCCGGTTCGAACCCGGGCGGAACCAATTTTTTTTTTAACCACTTGCTTTATATTTTTCATTGGGTATGAATTGCTCGACCCTATTATTTCATATCTTTAATCTTTAAAACACGTTGACTGCCACAAGGCACTAGGTATGTGCCTTGCCATTTCGGCTATTTAGGGTTCAAGGCATACTTTTTGTGCCTTATATCAGTCAACTCTCTAAAATTTCATGGTAGGTACATCGTGAGTGCCTTGAAGCGTATATATAAGCATGTGATCACAATCTTCGTGGCGCAGGGGACCCAAATTCTCAAAAACCCCAGGAAAAATATGAATATTTCAATTTTATTCAGCGTTTATTTCGAAAAATGGATTACCAAGCATATGCACAATGGATACATATATTATTCTTCAAAAAATACATGAATATTTTACTTATGCAATAAGTGCTAATGGAAAATGATCAGGTTCTTCTGAAAAAATGCAAAAATAATGAAAAAAGAATACGAAAATTTTTCTTTGGGCTGCCAAACTTTCATAAATGACAACTTTCTTTATTACAATGTCGTCTTGTGGTGTTGGAAAAAAAATGTTACGCAGAAATTTCTTTCACAAGCAGTGCATTGGTACATAGACCTAGGAGTTTTGCGCTGAGCTACGTTTGTTCCTTCTTCTTGTGCCAGTTTCTCGTAACAAACCACACACATTTGAAGGTACAGCATTCGTGCCTCACGGCCCGATACTACAAAATACATATGCTCGGGCCACGAGGCACATATATCGTGTCTTCAGAAAAAATTTGAATAAAATCAGAAATATACGTTTTTTTCACATATGTCACATATTTCCTGAAGAAGTACAAAAGTTTTAATCATGATCCATCATAATAAAAAATTATTCTGGATTTTCGCAAAACATTGATATATCTACCTACCTACCTAATAATACCTATAATAGCTATCTCAAGTACGATGCATTGATGAAATCAGCTCTTCAGGGAGAATCTAGAAAAGTAATGAAATATAGGGTGTTCCATTTGAATAATCAAAGTTGCTGCTACTGCTTTAATATACTTTTTATACTCATATAACTAAAATGGCATTCAGCGTACGGATTTGTCATTTATTTAAAAAATTAAACACGTTACCATGGCAACACAATTTCTTAAACACATTACCATGGCAACACAGTTTTCAAACACACCTTCAGTCGTTTGAGTTCTGTCCGGTCTGTAAATTGTATAGAAATGGTCAACTGTCATTTTCGTATTTTATTGCAATCAGGATTATTCAAACAATTTCGGTTTTTATCAGATTTCTTCATTAAACTTGTAATAATGTGAAATGTAGACGAAAGTGAAATCGAAGAAAATGTTTATAAGGTACATTTTTTAATATGTATTTCCTATTTCAAGAACTTTGATGTGTAAAAATGAAGACTTCATCTTTGTTTCTATGCTAAGCAAGACAATAATTGTAAAAGAGTTTTTATCTTCTACGTTCTTATTCACAAAGGTTAGTAAGCAAGCCATTTCAATATTTATCCTATGAACTGGACTAGACACATCTACAACCAATATCACTCTTATACGTGTCTCGTTGGTTCTATGCAGTTTCATAGTAAAACGTATTATGTTCTCAATTCCCTGTCCCTTCGAATTATTTTGCAGGTTAGCAGGTCAGCTAATCTAGTTTTCGGAATTATGGGATCCTGTCGAGAAGAGGAATTCGTAGAAAAAGTATAGTATGTATATAACGGGTTTACAAACTCTTCTAGACACACATTACTAAAAGGACGTTTATAACACTTGTTACATATTCTATTAGACGTATAAATCAGGTCAATTCATACATGCCATCAAATTTCCAGATTTATATGTTGCTTAGTTTGCCTGAAACGTCTAATTTACGCTCATCGTGAAAAACCCTGTGTTTGGTTTATTTATGATCGGATTATTTTCGATTTTTTGTCCACATTTATAATGGTGTATGCCTGCCAAAAGAAAAACAACGGTGAGTAAAGTAAAACCCGAGGTAAAACCTGATGGAAACTTCCCATATTTATCCGGAAAGAGCGGTATTATCTCGGATGTGATTTCCCAATACCGGTAAGCGGAAAAGAAACGTCCGACTAGATATATCCTGTCTGTTGTCGGTTTGCGGCTGTCGAAACTCCGTGTGCGATCAACGGTCACTTGTCAGATGTAATGTCCCCTGGGGATATCAACTGGGGTCTGGGGCAAAACTGGAAAAGCGCCGCCGTCTTTACCCTCTGTTATTTCCGATGGTTTAACTGGATGGGTGTGACAAGCGATGTCTACTAGTTTTCTGATGCTGTGGATAAATCTCATCGAACAAATTTTATGTTCACTGATTTGTGCTATTTGTGCAGTAAACATTTTGTACCTGTTATTTTCAACCAATCAGATGCTTTATTTCGACATTGTTACTATATGGAATAACCAGCAAATTTTCCGTTTTTTTTTCTATAAGCGTGCGTGATTCACCCTATACCAGCACGCAATTTAGTTTGGGAACTGTCATTTTCCCGCATTAGTGGGCCAAACACTATAACCAATCAAATTCAAATAAGAAACGACGTTCTTCAAGATGCTATATTACAGCATCCAAAGAACACAAATAGCACTTTCAATTTATATGTTTAACATCGTTTTCATTTTGTAGCATCATTATAAAATATTGTTTTTCTACTCCTTACTCGGTAAGTACTTCATTTTGATACTGATTTGAGGGAGGAAAACACGTTCTACCTCCCTAGGGAGGTAAGTAAATATTTACCTCCCTAGGGAAGCAAGTTAAATAAAATGAAGTACTTACCGAGTAAGGAGTAGAAAAAATATAATACAAAACTCGGGAGGCAGTGTTCTTGACCAGTCTCGGACTATTTTGCAAGCCCTCGCTGTCGCTCGGGCGCAAACAATGTCCTCGACTGGTAAGTATCACTTGCCTCCCTTGTAGTGTAAATAACTATTTTTGAAAACCTTCTTTTTTGTTCATAAATAATATAGACAAAAACACTCGCAGGAAAAACTTTGTACCTAAGTTTATGGAGGAAAATAAAAATCATAAACTAAAAAACCTCCTTCTTCTTTGTCTCGGACCGAGTTGCCAACATGCTAACGTGTTTGCCAATCTGCCCGAGTTCAGCGTCAGGTTATGATTTCTCATGAGCCATGACACTAATTTATTGTCGTGTTTGGGAGATACTGTTGCCTAAACCTTCCCCGGTGTCTCGGACTTGTCCGAGAATCCGGGAAGATTTCCATAACTATAGGTTTTCAGGCTCCCTGAAAACGTCGGTTGATGCATTCATCAGCCCGTATTTTTTATGGATATTGTGGTTTTGTCTGACCAGGAATGTGGAATTTGTGGAATTTATTTGCTGTCTTGATGATATAATCCCTTATTCTAGGAAAATTTCCACATCTCTCGTGGGGATCTGCCACTCGAGAGTATCTATCGCCGTTGGTGATAATACGAAGTACTTTGTTCTGCAGCACCTGTAGCCTATTCATATGAGTAGGTGGGATGCGTACGTCACCAAAGGCATAATGGTACATTTTATCAATTGCTGATTGCGTTTTTTGTATCAAGTGGTTAGTGTTGGGCCTGAGACTCATACGGGTTGTCCAATTTGACCCCCAGGTATCTCACAGTGAACGAGTCTGCCCGTTACCACCGGTTATCCGAGTCGAACGAGTAAGTATATATCAACCAAAATGGGATGCACTGTATTTATTGGGACTCGATTCTTCTCATTTTTCGACAAATTTTTCAATATGGATTAAAAAAAAATTGGTTCCGCCCGGGTTCGAACCGGGGACCTTCTGCGTGTGAAGCTTTCAAATTCATTTATTTTCTCAATTCAATGAAACATCGACAATTTCAAACAGAACAAACAACTATAAAATGTATACATATACTATCCTCCGCGCAGTGCGGAGTTGGCTGGTGTTAGCCAGGGGGAATGTTCGTTCTGTGATAAGAGTCCTGACACATGAGTCCCATCTCCTGAAGCAGTGCTCCTTTTAATGGGAAATCTCCGAGGTGGACCCAGTAGGGTCAAGGGTGAATACAAACATTGGCGTGCTGGAAATTACCGTTTATACGAGGGAAAATAAAGTAAAAACCCTCTCCAGATGATCTGTCGCTTTGGACACGGCGCTCACCGCCCCCATCTACAAGCCACGCCCAGAATCGGCCGATAGGCCAATCAGCCGTCTAGGGCAGCCAGCAGATGTGAGCCAAGAGTCGCCAGCACCTCAGCGTGAACACTGCCCCACTGAGACGCTGCTGCTCTTGACAATTTCCAAGGACATCAGTCACGCGACATCCCTGGAAATTTTTAACATTTTCATGCTGAGGATCCTACAGATCGCCCAGGGGTTCCCTAAAAACATCGGTCGACTCATATATTAATCCATGTTTTTTATAGATTCCATGTTCAGCACGAGTGGAAGTGATGTTCCTAGTGAGTTCACTTCCCTGAACATGGGATCTATAAAACTTATTCGAGATTTTCAGTATATGATCTTTTATCATTGGTATGCCATGACACCATTCGTGAAGATCTACCACTCGGGAGTATCGATTACCATTGGTAATGATACGGAGAACTTTGTTTTGCAGCACCTGTAATCTACCTATTTGGGTATTCGAGGCGCTACAAAATACCGGACAGGCGTATGTCATTACAGGCCTGATGATCTGTTTATAGATCAAGAGCTTATTATCCAATGTTAGTGGGGAATTTCCCACCAACAAAGGATACAAGCTCCTGATTGCAGCCTGAGTCTTTTGTATTAAATAACTGATATTGTTCCTGAATGACAAACGTCTGTCCAGCTTTACTCCCAGGTATTTCACAACGGGAGAGTCCGTAACCTCCGCATCTTTTACAGTCAAAGGTCGCCGTAAAACGTTGTTAGTGTATTTCCTGCTGAAATTCATGACTTCTGTCTTTGTATTGTTCACGGCGATCTTTGACTCCTCAAAATACGGTATGACTCCCCTGTCCAGATGGATCTGGATCTGAGTCCTGGCGATGTCCGAGTCGAATGAGTGAGCATATAATGCTGTATCATCAGCATACAACGCTGCACTCGTCCTCTCGAACACAGGAAAATCATGCGTGTATATTGAGTATAGCAGTGGAGACAGACACGACCCCTGTGGAACACCCGCCTCGAGTGGAAAATCCCCTGAAACAGCGTCATTCACCTTTACTCTAATCTTTCGGTTTTCAAGATACGAGTCAACAATCCTAATGATATATATGGGCATTCTAGCCTTAGACATCTTGGACATTAAACCCTCGTGCCAGACGGTGTCGAAAGCCTTTTCGACATCCATCATGACCATAACAGTATTTTTGTCCTGATTAAAGGCCTCTTTTACCCCGTGAACAATTCGGGCCACTTGGGACGTGGTGCTATGTCCCTTGCGAAAACCGAATTGTTCATCAGGGATCAGGTTCAGGTCCTCGACCTGGGCCTCAATCAATCTGAGTAGAATCTTATCCACTACCTTGGCCACTACACTGAGCAGTGATATAGGGCGGTAGCTCCCTGGTCGTTTCGGGTTCTTACCCGATTTGAGAATTGGTACAACAAGCCCAGTCTTTAGACACCCTGGATAGTGCTGGTACTTGATTATAGCATTGATAATATAATGGAGTTGGACCCTTGCCTTGCGAGACAGGTTTTTCAGGAGAACGACATCTATCCCGTCGAGCCCTGGAGCCTTATTTATATTCAGGTTTTTTATTACATTTTGTAACTCAGTGGGGTTGCATATGGCTCGACCCAGGACTCGATGAGTTAAAGGTACCACAGGTAGAGCCCTGATTCGGGTCGCTACGGCTGCCATGTCCTCCTGAACCTCTCCCTCAGGATTTTTATTGATCTTATTGATTGATTGAAAATGTTTCCCAAGTACCACCGCCTTCTCAGAATCTGACACCGCCTCCCCGCGATCACACTCCAAGGAAGGGACAGGGGTGCATTTTCTCTTCAGCCTCTTTGTCATCTTCCAAAGAGTGTTATCTCGGGGATCTAGGGTCTCCACCTTGGCCCTCCAGGTGGCATTCCTGAACTCTCTGATTTTGGTTTCTATCAGCTGGGCTGTGCGGCTGAAGTCACACCTTGCTTGGGGGGTCTTCAACCGCTGCCAGCGCCTTCTGAGTCTCTTCTTTTCGGCTATTAGCTCAAGAATGTCCCCTGGAAGAATATCCTTGGTGGAGTCGATACTGACCAATCTCGTCGTCATATTTCTTGCTGAGATTATAGCATCACAGAACCTCAAGGTCTCAGAATTAATCTCCGAGACACTGAGATTAGGATTAATAGTTATTTTATGGTCGAGCAGAGCCCTGAACCTCTGCCAGTCTGTGGTTTTATAGTCATATAGTTGTTTTTTAGTGTCGCGTGGTTTATCTCCAAAACTATATATCACTGGCAGGTGATCAGAGCTCAGCTCGTCGACAACTGACAGTGTTGACAATGACGTAACGTTCTTGGTCAGCACGATATCTATTATACTCGGTGTCGTTCCGTTAAAGGGGTAGTGCGTGGGACTATCAGGATGGTCCAGCAGGACATTTGCAGCCTGCAAGTACTCCCTCAAGACTCTCCCATTAGTGTTGTTCCCTTCGTTCCCCCAATCGACGTGTCTCGCATTCAGGTCCCCTCCTACGATCACTTTGTTCCCAGCACTAAACAGAGTCTCCAGGCCCTCTTCCGAGAGCCTAATTCCGGGCCTGTTGTATACCGAGAAAATGGTCTCACCACTCAGCAGCCTCACGCCGACATGCTCTATAGAACATTGTCTTCGCGACACCACTGAGTGGGGTATGTTGTTCTTGATCAGTATGGCTACCCCCCCATGTCCATCCGCATCAGGACGGTCTGCCCTGATAGTGGTAAAACCCCTCACACAAAACCTATGGTCAGGACGGAGTTTCGTCTCGGACAAGAGAATGATGTCCAATCTGTAGCGATATACAAAATTAACAAAACTCGGCATCTTATTGTTGATGCCGTTAATGTTAATATTGCATACCTTAAGGCCTATTTATACCATTAATATTGTATCTACCAATATTCTTAGCAAACCCCGCCACGATCTGAACGATCCTCATGGGGTTTGTCTCGTTGCCAATGCTTGCATTCAAGTCCCTGACGGCCCTGAGCACCTCGGCAAGATTCACTTTCTGTTCCAAGAGACAGAACTCATTTGCCAGGTCCGTCAGAACATCACCCCCCTGACTTACCCCTGACGTTTCTCCTCCACTGCGTTGTTGGCTCTGCGGTGGTTGCTGCTGCTGCTGTTGTGGAACTTCTCGTCTTCGGTTGGTCAGGCTGGTCTCTCTCTCTGTTCTGCGTTGTTCCCACGCATTCGTTGCAGGAGGCAGGGCAGGGGTGTAGGCCGGTCTGCCCGATTTACCACTCTTGTTTGCATGCAAGAGATGTATTCTTCGTTTGTACACTTCGCATTCAGTGTAATTTGCAGGGTGAGCCTGCCCACAATTTACACATTTGGCAGGCTCTTGTTTAGGAAGTTTACATTCAGGTGTGGGGTGGCCACCAGCACACTTGAGACATTTATAATCTCTATAGCAATTACTGGTGGCATGACCCCACATCTGACACCTCTTACATTGCGAGATCTCCCTATTGTTTCGCCTGAGCTCCCAAGTGACCCGGGTGGATAGGACATACTTCGCCCTGTCATTGAGATCCCTAAGCGAAACATTAGGGTCGGTGGTTATCAAGTAGAGAGGCCTAAACCGCGTGTTAAGCGCGAACACCTCGCGAATCTTCATTTCGTAGACCTCCTCTAGATCCTCCTTGATCTCCGAGGGTTCCGGCTTAAAATCCAAGCCTCTCAGCACGAATGCGTGTGACTTATTCTTCTTAAGAGTATACGTGTAAAACGATACTTCGTCATTTTCGAGTTTTGACTTGAGTATTTCGAAGTCGTCGTTGTTATCCATGTAGAGGAGGGTGGATTCTCTACCAAATTTGAAGAAGAAGGGTTTTGAAGTAAATTCCTTTATCATTGAAGAAATCAGTTTCCTATCTGTCAGTAACCCGTCAAATACAATGGGTGGTGGTTTCTTCTCCCTTTGGGTGGGTGTTGGTTTTTTGGGATCTTTTTTAGGAAGGTTTTTGTTGTTTGTCGTTTTCCTTATGTTCGTAGAGGCCCTCTCCTCATCGGATGAGTCTTCAGAAGAGCTTGGTATTTTCTGACTGCTTGCATTATCAGGCTTAGGACTTTGTCCTATGTTCGCTAATGGTTTATATCTGTTTTTGATAGATATAACTTCCTCTCTCTTCTTGAACGCACCAGACCATCTAGAGGTTTTCCTAGGTACGATAAATCCGTCTCCCGGGTTTTTGAAACTTTTCTGAGCTCTGATTTCGTCTATTGAGGTATGTTGTTCCTTCCGCCTTTTCTCGAGCCGCCTCTCTGGTGGTGAAGATGTATCCATCGATTCGGTTTCCTTTTCTTGGAGTTGCTGGGCAAGTATACCATCCTGGTATATTTGCATCAGTTTATTAGGGATTGCGGGAGTCTCCTCCTGGTAGGCCGAAACACGAACGTCTGCTTCGACGTGAATGAGGTTTTTCTGTCTAGATGGTGGTAGCAGGGAGGGAGTTCTACCCCTCGAAGGTAATACCTGAGATATTTCTTCCTCTCTGAAATCACCATCGTCGTTGATGCTGTGACTTGAGGTACGTCGAGTTTCAGCCTCAATTATTTTCGAGACAGCTCTCTCGATATCAATCTCAGAGTCGGATTTCGGAGACTTCGGTAGTGCAGTGGGTGGGATCTGGACATTTATTGCACTACAGATTCCTCTCATCCTCAAGTCCCTAGCCCTCTGGGTATCCTCCTCAGAGGGATACTCTAGCTGGCTAGGTGATATACTGGTCCTGTTTGAAGAGGAGTCGGACGGGAAGGACATAGTTTCCCAGTCCTCTCGGTCTTTATACTTCTCCAAATCGAAGTACATTTCCTCGATATTGTCCTTTGAGGCATTCTCCTCCTTCATTATCTTCCTGATTCGTTCAGCTTTTTCTTCAATAGATTCTTTCGCATGTGTTTTATGTACTATTTCCCATAAATTTGCAGGTATATCATCTGGTTTGGCTAACAAATACATAGATTTATTAATTTCTTGGATGATTGCCTTTACCTCTGAATTCGGCCGTCTTCTCCTAGAATATTTAGGTGGTTTGGCTGCAACGAAATCTTTCCACGAGTCGTAGTCATCTACGCGGAGTTCCATCCTCTTGTAGAACTCGAGGAAAGCTTGTTCTTTCAGTGGCTCAATAACCCTGACGAATAGGTTTTGCCTCATGAACCATGGTACCTGACTCAGGCTTTTTAATTTTAGGGGTTTTCTGATTCTCCCTATAATTGGAGTGAAGCAGACGTGATAACCGCTACACTACGGGACCTGTGAAACATTTAGTGGAAATTTTGTACAGATTCTTGATACAATCTAATAATCCAGATTCATACTGAAAATCGTCTAGGAGGTGAACGGGAGAAGGGGGCAGTAATGGGGTTCCGGTTTTGGGTTTGCTGAACCGACTCTCGCTGACGTGATCTTCATCTTCATCGTCACCATGATGATCATAAGCAGGAACACCTTCGAGACATGTTCCTTGGAGATAGAGGCACGCCCCAGAACAGTTCAGCATGGCTTTCTGGTATCCAGATTTACCATCACCACAACCCTTGGTGCAATGACAAGATATCATTTCCAGTAGGACCTCTGATGCTGGTGGATCTTCGTTGTAATTGGCGCCAGGGTGCCTCCTACACAAGTTTTCGAACTCACTCGCGAGGTGGCAGCTTATTATTGAATCGCTGCTGAAGTTGGTGGTATAGGTACACCAGAAATGCTATTTGGCTGTGCTTTGAGTTGGTTAGTGCAAGCTATGTGTCAGGCTTATTATTTGCCACTGTAAGGTCAGTTACTTGAGGAAGGGCTGTCTTGCTGGTTCCCCATATGGCTGAAGATCTCTGCAGCTTCCTTAAGATATCTTGAAGGTTGCAGATGGGTCGCAGACGGTGAATAGATGTGAGAACAGGATGTGTTCAAATCCATGTTACATATGCATCTCTTGGTTTTGTTCTGGTATTTCCTCGTCTGGGTATCAGCAGCAGCACGATGTTTCGGGAGGTAGGAGTGCTGCACTCCAAATATGGGAACAGTATTCCAGGACAGGTCAGATCTGGGCCTTATAGTTCATAAGCAGCTGACTGGAAGTGGAATAGCTCCTGGGCCGAAACAGAAAACCAAGTTTTTGGGATGCACTTATAGCAATTGATCTCACGTGATTTTCCCAAGAATGGTTATTGCTGATAGTAATACCAAGCATCGAAATTGATCCTTGCGGAACACCAGCAGGGAGAACTAGCTAGCCGAGAACATAGCTGGGAAGGCAAGTCATAAGATGGAAGCTGGGCTAGGAGTCCGTTTTGCCAGACTCGATCAAATGCCTCGGAGATATCAAGTGCCACGGCTAAGGTTTCACCATATTTTTCAATAGATTGCTGCCATATATTATGTGGGACGTAAGCGAGCAGGTTACCAGTTGATCTCTGATGACGAAAGCCATATTGCCTATCGTTGATAATACCTGAATGTTCCAGGTATTTCATGAGCTCGATGTTGGTAGCTTTCTCCATGATCTTTGAAATAATAGATAGCAGTGCGATCGGTCTGTAGTTGCCATAGGTAGGGTCTTTTTGCCTTTTTCAGGAACTGGTTTTACTCTTGCAATTTTCCAGTTGGACGGAAATATCCCAAATTTGTAAGAGTAGTTGAACAACTTGAAGAGAACAGTTGTTAGTTCGGGAGCCACATTTCTTGAGGACAATCGGTGGGATTCCGTCGGAGCCACAAGCTTTGTTGTTGTTGAGACCCAATGAAATCTTCCTTAAAGTACGTTGGCGAAAGGTGGTCTCATTGGACTATGAATGTTTGAAATCAAAAAAGTTGTCAGCCCTTTCTCTTTTACACGCCTTCGTAAATCAGAGGGCGCTATCGAAAACTAAACATATCTAACCTGAATAATTTCATCCTTTCCATTCTCCACCACTGAGTATCTATAATGATTCCCCATTTTGAACATGCCCTCGATCCCTTCCTGAACAAGATATTTATCTTGCCATTTTCCGATCAATTTTCGCCGAGGGCCCCTAATAATAAAATGGCCTACTCGGGACCTTTTTGGCAAGTCGTCCCTTCCAAATTAAATTCCTGCGAAGGTCATCCGGCTCTGATGTACGCTTCCGATGAAATTTTCGGCACCGAGTTCATTAAATGAAGAGACAAATCAAGAACTAAGTGCGTCCTAATTGGGTATCTGGTAACTGTTCCTTTGTAGAAAGAAAATTCACCTTCACCGATCGAGGCAATAGTAAATATATTCGCGAGGGTGAAGGTTACCATTTGGAAAGTTATTTTATGCCTATTCCTACTAATGTAAGAAAACTACTATGAATAGGTTTTTATCATTCATTAGAATGTCGAATCAATTCTAAGCTGGTTGAAATTACATCGCTCAGTATATTTCACAGTTTATCGAAATAGAGAGCCGTACCGAAATAATAGTTTACAACCCTCTTGTAACGAGTAGGCATTCAATAAAATGGCGTCTCTCGATCGATACACAATATAGCATTTTGTATATTTCAGCTATATTACAATTTATATCAAATATGTGTTGCATCTCATAAATTGTAGCTATATTGTATGTAGTCAGCTTATGTTATTTTATACAATTGAAAATTCACTGATAGTTCCATATGTAACGTTGAACTGAGATTGTTCGTAGTGAATCCATGTAATGTTGCAATTCTGATGAGAATATATAGTTGCAATAGTAGATTCAATATTTCTATTGAAACTAAAATGAAAGAGTCATTCTGTAACTTTTTTTGTTTGTAACAAACTATTTGTCAGTTGGTTTTTCTGTTATATTGTCAACACGAATATAGCAGCAAAATTGGTACAATATTGTACTTTCATATTACGGAAGAAAGCTCTACAATATATTGTGGCAATATTTTATAACGTTACATGTTTAGTGGGTTTCAGATTGTGTCAATTATTTGTGACGAAGAAAGCGTTTAATGTTTGCATTCCCACTAGTCAATTTCAATTGTTTTTTTTTAATTCAGCTTCGAATTTTTGTACCCTAATACCGTTTCTATGTATTTCACTTCACTGGAAAGAATCAGGTTGGCAGCAAAACAAAAACTACCTATTTTTATTGGCCGAATGCATTAACTCTGACATTTCTTCGACAAATAAATGCAAACGAAAACAGGGACTACAAAAGGAAATAAAATGTATTTTCAACGTAACAATATCGACACGACAGGGCCAAGCAACATTCCGTGCCATGCCAATCCGTTGAAAACTTCCAAAGGAATCATCCTATTTGTATTTTGTCTGGCCAGTCTGCGAAAACTCCCACAGTGGAGAATATGCCTTCCAGAAAATTGTTAATCTCATTGTTGAAACTTTCATTGTTCAGTATCAATATGGGTTCAAATTGAAGTTGGGCAGTGATATTTTGATTCTTTGAATTGACTCGGTCGGTACTTGCATAGCATCCATAGCAAATGAAGACCACAGGGAAAAAAGGAGGAATGTCACAATATAGTGGAAATTGACTTGACATCGCCATCTGATAGCCTTATTTTATTATAAACAGAAGTCCATCAAATATGCTCCTTCGAAAATACGTTCACATGGAAAAAACGCGGAGTGTCCGCTTCCAAAATGTGAAGAAAGGGGAACGTCCAATAAGCTTGAATACAGATTCCATTGTGATTTTAATAGGTTGTTGTCACACTATCAAAAGGTCAAAGTGAACTCTCAGACAAACAAAAGATGAAAAAAAAATACAGTCACCTTTTTTTCATCTCTTGGAGCGTACGGAAGAGAATCCCAATAATATTCGCAGAATATCGTGGGTACCTAGGGAGGATAGGGAGAGGGGGTAGGTATTGGGATTTTTTTCATTTTTTGGAGATCTTGGAGTTCTTGGGAATACTCTGGCGAAAAATTCCAGAGCTTTGCCGTTCTATATATAAAGAGTTGTTCGACATATTAGAAGAAGAGTCCCCTGTACCAATGACCTAACCTAACCTGACCTATTTTGTGAATCGCATATTCATCTTGCGAGACATGAATGTGATATCCCCGGGGATATTTGTGTTTACTAGGAAACATCACAGTGACGTCGATATTTGGTAATGCGACCATACAGAGTGATTCAGGTTTTAAAGTACAAACAGAAATGAGTGATAGATCTCATCATTTTGATAAAAAAGGTATGTGTATGAATATGTGTGCGATCTCGATCAGTAGCGGAGATACAGGGGGTCAAAGTTTGATTATTTTTTATATTAATTGAAATATCTCGCTCACTTCTGAGGATATCAATTTCAAGACTTTTTAAATCCACTGGGTGATGAGTTTTTGAGGGTAGAGGCTTCGACCTCCAATCCAACCAAACTTTTTCGTATTACGCCCGTGACATCTTTTAGTTACCATAAAGGGTGGATCATTTGCTTTAAAGAGTTTATCTGCATCTCAATTCTTTTAGTGAAACGCACCATTCTCGACATAATCGTATATCCGTATATCCGTGCAATAACATGTTAGTTTTGCCAATTATGATTCATTTTCCGTTGGTCGGGCTATAAACTTTTTGCTACGGATTTAAGATACCACTTCAAAAAGTTTGGCATTTCATCTCTGTTGGCAGGTTATAAAATGTTACTTTTCATAAATAACGTTTTTCCCGTGGGAATAAAAAAGTGAGTACTTTTTTCCGGATATATATCACATATATATATATACACTGTTGATGGCTTTTGTTGTGCTATAGTTCCGAAAAATGAGTCAATAATACCGTCTCTGAGAAAGAACTGCAAGTTCTTTTATCTCCCATTCGACTTCGCGGTTACGTATATTATTAAACAACCACTAAATTCGCAATTTTTTGAAATCAAATCATAGAATTAGAATGACAGAAGTGACATCAGATATTTGATTACTTCATATGAATGATAAAGATGCCTACAAAGCAGGTGTCCCTACTGTTAAAAACTTGAAATTTCACATCGATAATTTTCAGATTTCAAAATAATGTAATATCTTCTCAATATTGAATCGTCCTTTCTTCTGTCACAGGAAAAAATAGTGTATTATACACGGGAAAAATATGTATGTATGTTGTATAATAAATAACTATTTTTACATTTGATTTTTCCTTTCCGTTGTCACGTTCATCGCTATGTACCGTGTGAGCCATGATGAAATTATTCATTTAATGATGTGAACTTGTGCCGTTAGATGGTGATTTGTTTCTCAACTAAGGATTAAACTTTGAGGTGACGATTTGCCCCCACCGGAAAACGACAGGGCGCCAACATCCGAGCTGGGGCAACGAGTGGACGGTTCGGACCGGATATCGAGTTTCGTGAATTGTGTTACGTTGATAGCTCCGGTTTAGCTCCATCATTTCCCGGCATAATTGAGGGGCAGCCGCCTGCGGGACAGAGGTATTTCTACTGTCAATTGTCATCGATGCTCATTTGGATCACGCGCGAAATTTGGCGTGTTATTATTGCGGCATGGAAAACAAGTGGCAGAGAGGTCGACCTTTGATAAGTTCTGGTCGGTTGTTGTGTTTTGTTGCTGCCATCGAGGTCATCGATAGCTGCTGTGAAATATATAACAACTAGCTTTTACCCGCAGCTTCTCTAGCGTTGAAGCCCTTGAATAAATATCAAAGACCGACTATAGCTTCAACAGTTTAACATTTTCTTATATTCAATGATTACGGGGTACCTCAGGGGTCGATTCTTGGTCCGCTGTTGTAGTCCCTCTATGTACTTAACCTTGAACTTGATAAAGCTCAGAAATTACAAAACGAAACCCTTAAAATATTATCTGAGTGTAATTGGCTCACTAGCACAAATCTTATTTATTCAGAATTGAATTTATTTCGATTGAAAGAAATTCTGGATATAGAACAATGCAAACTTGTTTATGAAATACTTAATAATCAACAGAAATGTAAC